CATTGTATAGTACTTTAGTATTAACAGAATCTGTGCTCCAAAAGTAGATATTTATAGCATACTTATGAGGGGACGTTCATTGAGAATGTCTCAATGGGAGCAACTTAAACAGTTTCACTATGTACATAAAAATTGTTAAGATCAAGAGAGCTGAGGATTTTTTAAAAATACACTGGGCTGAAGCTCGGAATAGAGTCGTCTCAATATCGAAATAAGTTCCATTTAGCACTTAAGGGTGCACCTAAGATAAAACTGGCTACGTGAGGAAGATAAGTATTTGGTAGCAAATTTAAAATATTAAGTTTGTACAAAGCAACCCGTTCTTATTTTCCAACTTGCATTTCTTTAGAATTGTACGGAACTTCAAAGCAAGTAAACCTAGGTGGAGTAGTTGTCTACCACTCCGTCTCAGAATTTGAGTTGTTTTGGATTGATTGTAGTACCCCATGAGTGTACAAGAACCGCACCCCCAAAGGATTTTATACCACGGCCCCATTTGCCCACTCAAAGGGCCGAAAAGCACGAAAAAAGCCTCCTTTTCACCCATACAAATTTTAATCCTAAATGGTTTCTTAATCGTATCCGATTTCAAACTACACTTTTTTGAAATGTCAATTTTTTCGAAGCCTGGTCAGGAAATATTTTTAAAAAATCAAAATTTTCAAAAACTTGATTTTGATATCGGATACCATGAAGGTTTCAACCCAGTAAGTTTAGTGTTTGGCTCTCCTTTGAGTGGGTGTGGCAGGCGCAAATGGGGCCATGGGATAAAATCCTTGGGGGGATTTTTGTAAATTCATTGGCTACTACAATTTATTGAAAGGGCGTCAAATTCTGGGAGGGAGTGGTAGACAACTAGTCCTCCTTAGACAAGCTAAATTCGAACGTATTTCTGTCCAAACTTAGGATTTGTATGTAGGGATCGCCTTCCGGTGTAATTACCTATTCTAAAATGCATAATCATGAATTTTTTATTGATGTCAGTTTCCTGTAGCCTTTATTGTCTGCAAAACTTTTCTCTTTTCCTATGAATAAGAAACTACCAGCGTAAACTAGCTATGTGGAAGACATTTTTCGGAACGGCTTATGGAATTTAAAGAATGTTAGAAATTGTTATAGTTTATTACATATTTACAATTATGTAATTTCGAAACAGGTGAATTGATGTCTATGTTCTTAAACTTAAATTTATTCTACTTGCTTACGCTTTTGCTCCTCTCGCCGATTCGTAGATGTTCCCACTTCCAAAAAACTTATTAAATTTAAATTTCTCCCAATATTCTCAACTGTTATTTCCCAATTTTGAAACCCCCATGCAAAGAAATTCGAGGTACATAGATTTTCAAATTTCCCATTATTCTTATTTCCCCCATAATTCCCCAATCTTCAAGTCCGTCCCCCTTCCTTAGCAAACCACACGACGGTCTCTTCAATACTCACTTTCCCATCTTGATTCGTATCCGCTTCCACGACAAACTTGCCGTAATCGGTTTTGCGAAAACTCGGATTGTGCGCGAATAAAGTGTTCGTTATCGTGTGGAATTCGTCACTGTCGACAAATCCGTTCTTATCCCGGTCCATCGCGTGAATCAGGATTCTCATCATTTCCACGTCGTCTCCCCTGGCGACCCATTTGTCGGCAAAGACGTCGAGCGGAATTACCCCGCCGAACGGGCCGTCCCACATTTTTTTTGTAAATGACGGCTTGTTCCGGGGTAGTCGGATAGTTGAGCGCCGTCACCAACAAGTTTTCAAAGTCAGCGACCTTAATCGTTTTATTGGTGGGGTTGTAGGATTCCATTTTCTTGAAGGCGGCTTCCACCTCGGCCTTTTCTTGTTCGGGGGTTTTACTCATTTCTGGAAAAATTCGATTTAAAAAAATCTAAATTAAACATATTTATGTATTACAAGGTGGTTTAAATGTCAGATTACAATATACTTTTTTTTCAATGTGAAAAATTCGCAAGTCTAATTAGTTACTGAAATTTTGTCTCTGAAATTCAATATTTTAAGAATTTTGTTGTCAGTTTTTCAGAAGTTTTGATAATAATGACAAAAATCTCAATCTCAAATTGGTTACCAAGGGAAATTTACGAATTTTTCCCATTGAAAAATTTTCCATTGTAGCCTGACATTTAAACCACCCTGTTCTTTGCATATTTGTAAATTTAAATATGTTCTGAAAATATTTCTGTAGCCTTAACTCTGGTCTGAAGTGTAACCCTCCAATTTAGTTGAAATTTTCAAATTATGTAGTTCAAGTCAATACAAGCAACGTTTCTTCAGGCGGTTTTTGCGATGGTCAGAATTTGCCAAAATATTTTAGGGTAAAGTTGAAAAATATTTTAGCACGATGCGATGCGATTTTTAGCACGGGAAGAGAATGGAAGTTAAGTTTGCTTCCTCTGCCTGGTAAAAATCGCCCGTTTTTCAAATTTCCCCTAAAATATTTTGCCAAATTCTGACCATCGCAAAAACTGCCTGAAGAAATTTTGGTTATTGACATGGACCACAAAATTTCAAAATTTCAACCAAATCGGAGGGTTACACTTCACACCATTGTATTTTCAGTTTACAAGTTACTAGTTATCTTCGGAAATTGCCTCAAGAATTTTCACAAGTAAATAAATACTTTTACCTCTTTTTATAGAGGCAATGTTGAGGCGAAATAACTGCAATCGAAAATTTTTTAGAAAATAGAAAAATTTTTAGAAAAGGATAACCCAAAGAGTTTGAAATATGTACAAAGCGGTGAAGAAGGAGTGAATCCGGTTCAAATCTCGGCATTAAATACAAATTTGCACAAAAATGCTCACCCGTTGGAAAGTAATTAGTCCACGATTCGTAAATATCTACAGGGTTGGTTTTATGTCTCTTTACAATGCAAATAATTTTTCAATGCAAAACATCGTAAATTGCCATCAGCTGAATACAAGGGCTTAGGAAAATTACCTTATGTAGGAAGCATACAAAATTTTATTTGTTTAATTTCACGGACAAAATGTAATTGAAACTTTTCTCCATTTTTCTCATTTTATCAAGTAGAATTTCATTCTATGCCAAATTTTTGCATTTTATGGTAAACCATGTGGCACTATTAAACAGTCAGTGTCACATACAAACCGTCTGAGTCACCACACTCTAAATAAAAATGGGTAAAATTTACTCAAGGGTGGGTAAAAAAGAGGATGACGCAAACAAACGGTAAAATTTACCCAAAATCGTGGAAAACCTGTCCAAAGTTGTGTGAATTTTACCAAACATTGGATAAATTTTCGCTGTTTTACCCACACTTAAAACAAAACGGTGTCAATATATGACTTGACCGCCTTGGTTACAATTGTGATTCCTAGTAGTAATGAATTTTTTCCGTCCGGTCATAACATTATAACTACCGGTATCAAAATCATCATAACTCGGATTCAACATTATAACCAAGACGGTTAAGTCCTATATTGACACCGGCGGTGTTGATTCGACAAATTTTTATTTTGAGTGCAACCTTGCGTAAATTTTACAAATTTTAATTTAGAGTGCATTTTTCCGTACATAGTGTTTTTCGTACCATAATTTCTGTTAATATATTTTTCGTGTTTTTCCACAATACCGTTTATTACCTGAAATATACATACGTAGAGATTAATTCTACAAAACTAATACACCGGAACCCTGCCAGCCTTCAACCCCAACCCCGCTTAACCTAGCCAATAACTTACACATTATCGGCGTCTCCCTGAAATTCCAAGAAATGCAAACTTTTATTTGATCATTTTATCTTTCTGAAATTCCAACGGTTGTAAGTTCAACGCATTCTCTCTAAATATGTAACTGCCAAGAAATTTGAAGAAATGCCAACTTTTATTTGTTTTTTATTATTCTCTCGCTTGCGACAAGGCGACTGCCATCACAAACCTGAACATTTAAGTAAATTTAGTCATCAGACTTGCCCAGTTTTGCGAATATTTGGAATTTGATTCTCACACTGCTCCTCCGTGCCAGGATTCCTGACACAGTGTTTTTACAGATAGAGTCATAAATTATGACAAAAAACGAATGAACAAATTATGACTCATAATTTGTTCATTCGTTTTTTTTGTTTTTTGTGTTTTTTTTACATACTATCGCGTAGTACATAAATATCTCGTTACGAGATTCCCGTAGACGTTTCAAATAAAATTCAAAAAACACATGACACAAAAACACCTTGTTTTTTCCCCCGGGTGTTTTTCGTGTCAATTTGTTTTGTTTTTTTTGTGTTTTTTACATATCTGGAAGATGGTTCACATAAAACACAAAAAACACAAAAACATCCCGTATTTTTCCCAATGCAAGAAACCTGTGTTTTAGGAAGACTGTTCCGTGCATAAACTGTGGAATGCAACCACGTTTGTACCCAAATATCTTTGCAAAAATGCCCAAATATTTGATTACGTGCAACAGTGAGTGGTTTGATTAAATCAACGTTCGCTACACTAGTGTGCGAAAAGCCAAAAGTTGTTTATTGCTTCTTTCCTCACCAAAATCACCAAAATAATTTTTCATCCGAAACATGATTGTCATTCAAGAACAGAAAAAACAGAAGAAATAGTATTTAATTTGCTTACTATAAAATTAGCAAAAAATTCGCACGTGTTGGCTCCTATAGCAAAATCTACCCAAAAACTACTAATTGCGGACGCTTTATGTACACAAAATTACGCAAATTTAAGAAAATAGTGTATTTATATTTCTAAATCACAACGTGTTTTTGCAAATTATTATCAGGACGATCTGATTTAGTATGAAAAAGTTAGAAATAAATGCATATCCGACGTTTGATGATTAACTACTCATTTGCATAATAACTTTTACTAAGAAATTTGAGTCTACCGAATCCTCTTATCAAGCATTGTACAAACCGCAGCTTCAAATTCTCTGAATTATTGACATCCTGCCCACATTTTATTACTTTTCAGATTGATGCTGGCTCTTTTTCGTTATAATCAATTCGTAACCTCGCTCCGACTTCCTGTCAGTTGGAAATAAATGAAGAAAAACCGCCCTGCTTGCTGGAGCATTTTGGGACACAAAAAAACTTAAAATGTGCAAAAATCCTCGCAACGGTACTTTAGTGGTGGCAATTTGGCAAACGGTACGGAATCAATTTATAATAAAATCGGGTTAAAAATGTGTTCGTGCACATTCAAGGTTAACTAGGTGTTAGGGGACATCCATAAATTACGTAAGGTGAGAGGGGAGACTGGGATTCTGAACTCTAATGATATCGTGTTACAGATGTTTTAAGGGGCGAAGGGGGTGTAGATAATTGCGATTTTTGCATTAGTTAATTTATAGATGGTCCGTTACGCACTGTTTTTACAATGAGAAATCGTAGGGTATTTATCTCCAATTTTGATGGGACTGATTTTATCGGTAATTTTTTCACAAGAAAGAATAAGCGAAAGGTATTTTTGCTTTTTCTATACTATTCACATTTGATGGCGTGGTGAAGGTTGCAAATTATTTTACAGCCGAATTTTGCGATTCTCAAGTCGTTGTAACTTGTTTCTTTTAATTTTAGCGTGAATTCAAAAAATTAGAAACATGTACATACTCTAAGAATTACTTGCTACTTTTAATAAAAAATATTAATCTTGGGAATTTCTAAAAACTTTAATTTTTTTTGGGTTTAGCTATTTTCCAAAATAATCAAAATTCTAAAAACGGTATCAATATCAAAAATCTTGACTTCGAGGAAAAGTTCAAAAAGTTACAACGATTTGAAAATAGGAAAATTCGGCTGTAAAATCATTTAAAACTGCCACGACGAGCTCAAATGTGGGTATTATCGAAGAGCAAAAATACTGTTCAAATATTTTTTGTTGTGATCAAATTAAAATTAGTAATTAAATTAGCAATTAAAATTAGTCCCGTCACGAATGGAGATGAACTCTTTAAAATGTCGCATTTTATGCCCCATAGATTTCTGTACTCATCTTATGGGGATTAATATTTTGGGTGTATAACCCTTGGAATGGGGCATCCTGTAAGTGAATATTACATAGATATTCGAATTTATATTTTTTATTATACATACAGGGTGGCTTAAATGTCACGGTATAATGGAAAATTGTGCAAAGGGAAAAGCCCCTAAATCTCGATTAGCTACAAGATTTTGGATTGAGACTTAAAAATTATTATCAAAATTGGTGGAACACTGATAACAAAATTATTAAACTGTTTAATTTCGAAGACAAAATTTCGGTAACTAATGGAAGTTTGCGAATTTTTCCGATTGACAAATTTTCCATTGTAGCGTGACATTTAAACCACTTTGTTTGTTTTGTATACGACATATTTTGCTTCGCAGATGGTCACAACCACGATCTGGACATTTTATTCTTAATTCTTGGGGTTTCGTCGGTATTTATTGCGCTCGTAACATGCCTGCTTTGGGCAGGATGGAGAATGGTTGGTAATTTTAGGATTTTTTTTAAATTCGGTAATTATTTGTGTTAATTAATCTACACATCCATTTTAGAAACATCTCGGACTGATTAAGGCATGGTTGTACATAAACTACGTGTTGTTTGCACTTTCACTAATTTCCTTTTTGCGGGGCGGACTGCAGGGATTTTTTGGAGTTGCGATCCAATTCTTTTGCATCTTGGCGGTGAAACAGTACGCAAATTTCTTACAGGGTGAGGAGAACAGGAATGGGAACGGAGTTGTTCAAGAAGCTTAGTTGCTTGCGGTTAAATAACATAGCTTTAGCATGTAATTCATTAATGATGTAGATATTTAATCTTTTGTGGAAATTTTAAATAAAATTTTAATGTTTTTAATAATGTTTTTATATAAAAATAAACTGCGGCAACGCTGGGTACACAAGTAGGGCAAAAATGCTGAGAATGCGACACAAAATAAAGATTTGGTTAAAGAAAACAAAGATTGCCGAATCTGAATTATTTAAAAATAACAAAATAATTGAGATTTCCCCATTCTACCTTGTCACTCTGAAGAATCATGCATCTTACATGTTTCACTGTCAGTCTGGTTCAAGCGCCGGGGGATTGGAACTTAGTACCTGGGTAACGTCACCCAAAAGTTCCGATTCCCTGGACTTTTTAGTTATGCAAGTTACAGGGAAACGGAACCCACTTGTCGCAGGAGCTCTGCAATTCAGAGCTCTGCAACAACACGAGTTGATTGATGACTTACTTTAATTATAAATTGATCGTGGGCAACAAAAAAGAACTAACAATTCATAAATTTGACTGCCTACCACGACGACTAAATCCAAAATGTCTGACTCTGACAACGACTAAAACTCGACTGTGTAGAATTCTTCTACCTAGTTATTTACTACGACTTATAACAAAGAGAGACGCGCACCCAAAATCCCACCCTGACGTCACCATGGCAACCACCACCACGTCACGGGGCAATCTTACACGCATATTCAACAATTTACAAAAATACATAAAACAATTTCATAAATACATCATTTTACATTTAACACTCAGGATGGAAGAGCATATAAAAATGTTTGCAAAAAAATGTCTGGGGAATTTCCGGAATTGCCCCCATAAGGCCGCCGCACCGTGCAATTGTTACTCAATTTTGTGACCTATTGCCCCTTCCTCCACAAGATCCATGTCTCCACCGGTCAACTTATCTGATCTATCAGTGTGCGTTTATACAAAGCAAATTCAAATTATATCTTCACACCCACTCTTTCGCTACCAATGAGCAGTCGATAACTAAAATGTATTAATTTTATTACAGATTCACCTAGTTGGCCAAACAAGGGTACTTAAATCAATGTGACTTTATCAAGACTATTAAAAAAGTTTCAAAACTTCGCTTAAGGTAAATTTTATTTTGATCTTAAAAATAGTTTCTTTCCTTTAGAATTAAAAAAATAATGAACGGTGGAGACACATAAATATGGTGGAAACACGTTCATTATTGCAAGCATGTGTTACATTAATATTTCCGTTATTTTCACAGGCTATCCAGATCACAGACTCATCAATTACTATGAGACCTTGTACTCGGGAATAGTGTCTTCACCTTGTTGTACTTAAATTCAGTGTTAGTTTCTCAAAACCTTTAACAAACTGGTAAATTTTATTTTGATCTTAAAGGAGTTCTATTTTTCCTCATAAAATAAACAATTAACGGTGGAGACACATAAATATGGTGGAGACACGTTCTTTGTTTCAAACAGGTTTCAAATTAATAATTGCTTGTTATTTTTTGCAGGAAAACCAGTTGCTCAAAACATTTATGTCAATTTAAGAAACCGTCGCTTATCACGGTCCGAAATATAAAGTGTTGCTGTACTAATTGTGATAATTCGTTAAACCAGGAAAATCGTAATTAATCCCTTCTGCCAAGGTGTCAGGTACAATTTATGCGATGCAAAACAACTTATTCCTCTCATTATTTTTGTCTGATAGTTAATTTTAGTTTTTTAAAGGTTCCAGCAGTGGTGTATAATTCTCGACATCGATAAGGAAAACGTATCAACCAAAACTGTCGTTTGTAGCAAACACTTTTAGCCACCTTCAAGAAATTTCAAGAGTTTTACCGACCTCTCCACCCCATTCGTGTCTTCACCATTATCTGTGTCTCCACCGAAAGGGGGGTGGGTTAATTTATCCTTTACAGTCAATGGAAAAAGTATTGGCAACCCCCACGTCAGCTAAATAAAATTGGCTATAACCATGGAATGCATCATACAATTGGTATGGAAATTTGTACCCATTTAGCAAATATAATGTAGTTTTCGATTATAATCATGATTTATTAATTAAAATTAGATAAACACAGTTTTTAAATAATTTGTTGGAAAATTTGCAAAATTTGTTGTTATTTAGATATTTGTCAAACGTAAAGTTAGTAAAATTGTATTTATGCTAAATCAATTTACTCGGGTCGAAATGAATGTAATTTGTTGCAGTAAATTTGGTTGTAAATCTGCATCACAACAACTTTTAGTTTTTAATTAATTATTCGAACTTAGAAAGTCGTAAAAATTCTCCATTCGAGATGACGAAAATCTGTACAAAAATTAAGTCACATTAAATCCTGAGCAGGGTTGTAAAACTGCTCTGACCTATCTTGTCGTTAAACTTACTTCATAATTGATGAGGGTGCGTGGGTGTGGTCGAGACCGAAGCACGAAAAACTGCTTTGTGTTCTGGGACGTAAAATATAAAGTTTGAGGAGCAGAGATGGTAAAGGGTAGAGTGAGACGGATGGTGCGGAGCGAGTGCTACGGCTTCTCTTACGCGGCATCAAAAATATATGGGGAAATTTGAACTGAGAACCAGCCAATCCCATCACTCCAGCCCCGTCCTATACTGAATCATTAACATTGAAACCGTTTATCTCTATATGATACCATGATCATTGTTTGTTGACAAGTACCGTCCCCAATATAAAGAAACTCCACCCGGGTTTTCGGGTCAGCAGAATAGAAGCAAAATCCATGTGCAAATTTAAAGGCAAGGAAAGACTCGACAGCACAGTGTTTGTACAGTTTTGGTTGTCCCGCCTTTTGTGGGGGATCTAGGCATTGGTCAGCAGTAGCACAATAATCACCCTCCTTTCCCTTTGGACGTCCCTGGAAGCATTAGATATTTAAATATTTGTTGTTGCGAATATACAGGGTGGTTTAAATGTCACTAATGTCAGGTTACAATGGAAAATTTTTCAATAGGAAAAATCGTAAACTTCCAGTAGTTACGGATTTGGGATTGAGATTTTTACTAATTTTTGTAAAAACTTATGGAATACTGTGGACAAAATTCTTAAAATATTGAATTTCAGAGGCAAAATTTCGGTAACTAATGGAGAGTTGCGAATTTTTCACATTGACAAATTTTCCATTTAAACCACCCTGTATTCTTAGCCAAAAATTAATTAAGCTCACGCAATTAACAGAAAACCAAGTGGTCTAACTACTCGGCCGAGTCCGAGTAGTGAGAACACGGCCAAAACCTGCCGAGTACTCGGCAGCGCCGAGTACTCGGTGCATGTCTACAAATTACCCTCGTTGTCTCAGTCCGAGTTAATTCTGAATTGATGGTAAATGTATTTTTCAGGACGTATTTTATTACGCATTGTTTTCAATTTAATTAAATGGGGAATAGGAAATATTTAAGTGTCGTGCTATTTAAAATAACAATTGGGTGGATTTAATTTATAAAAAGTTCGAGAAGAGGAAGTGTGACGTTTTTCATGCGACACGTCATGTCCGGTTAAGTTTCGTTTCACAACTTTGTATAAATACGACAGCCATTGATGTTGTATTTGTATACTTTCTGCCCCTCCCCCTGAAGTACGGGGCAGAGTTGAACTAAATTAGGGATACCGTTGTACCCACAAAAATCAGCTCTACAATCTGAGTCAACCTTAAAAAATCAATTTTTTCTGTCTTTCGAAATTCCGGACATTACTGTAACTCCGGTGCATGCAAAATATTGCTTATTTAAAAAACGGGTAATAACACAAATTTCCCTCATATTTGTAACTTGGCTAGGACAAAAGTTGCAGAGTGTAAAAGTAAAACCTTGATCCTCACATTACCAGATTAATTACGGTCTGGAATTATTTTTGGTAGACGTGCACTTAATTGCAGAGTCTGGACGTGGTTGAGATTTCTTAATTTCTAATGTGAAAAAAGTTCACCGTGTGACGATGTATTCACAGCCCGACAACTTCAACTTGTTGCGAATATTGGCATATGTATGTAGCATTTTATTTGACATCATGCCAAACATTAACAAATATTTAATGGCAGGACATCTTGGTATACAAACATGTTAGCTCCCAATATTTTGCAATGTTAAATTCTGGAGAATTTCAGATTCTCATTCTCACGCATATCGCAAATCTGGTGGACCCCAAACCATTAAATTTCGTAATTGTATGTTGTTTAGCATAAGTTGGTAGAGTTCCCGGACATGTTAGAGTCATTTGAGAAAAAGTCCAAAATCCTAAAAAAGTCCAAAATCGTGACCCGTTTTAAGAATTTCAAAAGGTTGTAGGGAAAACAAATTAGGAAACTTTTGACGAAAACTGTTCTGAAAAATATTCATCTGCCTTTAAGCTAAAAATCGCAGAAAACCCCTATTTTTATAAAGTTTGAGCTCATCCCACTCCGCGAGGGGGGCGGAGTAGAAACGCCAGACTTGGACCGTTGTAAAAAATCAGCTCTACAAACATCTTATCCATAGATATATCATAGCATCTTATCTAAATCGAAATTTTAAAGTGATTCCGGTATTCATTCATATACTCGAAATCGCAAGTCATCAAATATATGTATGCACTCTTCGCAAAGACTGGAAGAAGTTGATTTGTCATATTTTACCCAAGTGTTTTCAAATATTTAAAAAATATTATTCTGCACAGCTGATGGGTTCATATATATTTTTCATTTAAATATCCGAACTTATATACTTTTCATATGGTACATACGTAACAATATTGCTGGCTTTGCATTAAATTGTGTAATTTGAACACTTGAAGAAACGTATTGAAAAGGCATGTATAGCTAACCCAAATCTACAGAGCTTACATATAATGATTAAAATTTAATAAACATTTCTGCACAAATTAATTTTAAGCGAAACGTTCTGCCGTGTTTATTCTTTATCTTGAGAAGAACTGAACGATAACCAGGCTTGTACTGATTACGATTTCCATTGGGTATGTATACTGAATTGGTCGGTTATACAACATTATATGCCTATTTAGTTATGGAATTAAATTGTAATGTACAGAGGCTGAACGGGCGAAAAAAGACCACTTAAGTATGGCTCTAAAATTTGTATGGGTTGACGGAATTCGTCGAAATTTGCATATGTTGTCAACAAACCGATCATCTTGTATTCCTAATTTTTTCAAAAATTTTGTTTAAAAAATGAAGAAGCATCATACGTCAAAACCTAAAGTGGTAGCGAAAACGCTTTCCTGAGAGGGTTATTCACAAAGAGTGACTGTAAACAGACTCAAAATCGACGAATTCGAGGTCAGCGAGATATATGTATGCAGTGTACATCATGTGGTAGTAGAAAAACACCAGAAATTAACAAAAAGTAAAACAGTACCTGTCAGATAAAGAAGCAATTTAAATGGACCAAAATGACGATTTCTCGTGTCAAAAACTAAGTTGACAAAAAAACTCCAAGATTAAAAGGACGATTGGAATGAAGATTGAAACATGTCAGAACACTATTGGTCAAGTTATTCGTGATGTTTTGGATAAACAGGTTCCTCGAGAAACGGAAGTCAAAGCATTGAACCCTTATCAAACTCAAAATAGTAGGACCAACTCTAAGAAGCCTTCGAGAGCCGCCTACCTGAAAACAAAAGTGATTATACTGCCACAGTCAATTAGGCTTGACATTACCGTAACTATTGCCAAGGCGAGACAAAAATCTGTTGCCTGGAGGACGGTGAAAAATTTGATGAAATTTTGAATTATATTGCATGAAAAAGTAATTGGAAAAAATAATGGTTGTTGGAGTTCTGTGTGGCAGAGCACCACTCCCCCTAATATTGGAAAAACCAAATGTAGAAATTAACGAACACTTATGTCTCGATAGTGTTCTGAAGCCATTGGTGGGAGTTTATCTTAAATAATCAACTGGATCTTGGTGAAATTAACAACATTTTCATTTCTGATAATAAAATTTCATCTCACATTTCAAAGAAAGTCAACAATTGTACAACCACTATTCATCGACAATTGGAGATAAGCATAATTTTCAATAAGGACATTCATGTCAAGTCGCTTGATATGTCAACATTGGATTTTTTCGGTTTTGGATATTTAAAACAACGACTTTTATTACGACTCGCGATGACATTTTATTATTTTATTGTCTCTGGAAAGTTGCTCGACGCGAATGCGCCGGAATTTTGCTTTAAACAGGCTAAAACGTGTTTTCGGGTTCGAAATCGAGATGTAGGTAGGTAAAGAACAATCAGGGCTATCAGACTAAGAACATAAATAATTCGAAAAATAATTTCCTCTACTACGAAAAACAATTTAAAAGTGGTCTTTTTCGCCCGTTCAGCCTCTGTATTGCATTACGTACATAAATACATCCTTAGTTTGAAAAGTGCTACAAAATTCTGTCGCATATTACATATGTACAAGTAGTGATAAAAAAGTTTATTCTATGCATATTACAAGGTGAATAAAAAAGAATGCTAAATACATATGTTGTCACTAATTTATTCCGCCTTCAATAAATAATTAGATAAAAATTTGATTAAAATGTTGTAAAAACAATTTACAAAAATTATGTAATCTTGTTTTTATTTGATGTTGTAACATAACTAATGGAAGTCAGGGTAAATTTGTCACAACGTAGCGTCCTATTTGAACTACGTTGTATACGTATGCATAATAAATATTTTATCAGCACTTGTAGATAATATGTGAGCAGAATCTTGGCACTGCACTGTTCTAAACTACGTGTTTAGCGTAATAAAATACATACACACATACATGGGGGTCATCCATATATTACGTTATCAAGAATTCTCAATTTTAGCACCTATGTAAATACACACCCACCCAATATATGTATATATATATATGCATTAAGAGAGGGCGTTTTAATATGGGAAAGATGGGAAGAGAACCACCCGCCTAGTAAAATGACGACGTAATATATGAACGCTCCCTATCCGAGTAACTGATCCTCAGAGTCGGTATGAGTCGTTGCTATGTATAATGGACCCCATAATCAGTACATGTGTCCCTGTTATCGTGCAGTTCTCCAGATAAGAAGAACTATGCAGAAAACAGATAAACGTTTCGCTTAAAATTAAATTGTGCTGAAATATTTATTACGTTTTAAGCATTAGTTAGTAGTGATAAACGTTTGGTTTGAATTGGACGTTTTAATACTTTTCAAGTGTTTCGATACGAAATTAATTGAGTAATTAAAAAAACAATGTCGGAAGATGCCTACGTGCCTCCACAACGTCGGCGTGGTGCTGCCCAAAAACAGGAGCAGAATGACCATTCTATTCGGGGTCAAGGGTCAAGAGGGAGGTCGTCGTGGGTTTCAAGAAATCCGCAATCACCGTCCTCATCACATTCTTGGGGTGATAGAGGAGGATCCAGGGGGAGGGGGCGGGGAACCGGAGGATTTGGCAGGGGAAGACCGAATACAGATCCGGAGAGGGACGGACCATCATTTTCTACTCCACGGAAACGCATAGATGTTCCATCTGATGGTAAAAATGGAGACGTGACGGTTCGGAATCGAGATGTGACGTACCAAAATAACAGGTAGGAAAAAATACAAAAAATATTAAGTAATGGGGGTATTCAATACGAGTTGGAATGTAGATGCATTTTTACTACGTATACCAAAGTCTAAATCGATTGTAGATCACATCACATATAACAATTATAACTTGTCAAAACCAATTATTGATCACCTCATAAATAAGTCTAATTACAAACAAAATGAGATATTCATTACTGTTCCTTTCTATGATATCATTAATTACAAATCAATAATTATTGATTTTTTACATAGTGAAATTCATAAGTATGAAGTAGAAACCAAAACTAATTATAATATGAAGTTGATGTTAAGTTATTTTATCCCTCATTCATTGGAAAAATTTAATAACGAATTACACAAGTCTAAACCTTCATAGAGCAGCCATCTGTCAATCTTTTGGAGTATTGTATGAATTATTTTAAGTTTTGTATGAATCATTTTAAGTTTTGTAGGAGTGTTGTATGAGCTTTTTTTCTCAAGTAACGATAAAAATATATTTAACTCACACCAAGTTTATCAGATATAAAATTTTGTATAAATAAATTTTTAAACTATATGACTTACTATTTTAATCTGTCATATTTTAAATTTTGTATCGTGATTTAAGGTATGGACATTTGTACATAATTTTCATTCTTAGTGATATGTGAATATAAAAATTTTTTGTAAAACAAACCTTTTCATTTTTTGGTACAGTTCCATATCGTAAAATAGTATGGTAATGGATAAATTTGATAAATAATTACCCACCAATATTATGAACATACACAGGTAATTATAGATATATACATATTTATTATTAGTATTAAATTGAAGCTTATTTTCGTGTCACTAAATCAATTTTAATCAATTTTAATTTCTTACATTATAATTGTATAATCTTCCATATTTTTGTAATAATAAGTTTTCTTAATCTCTATTCTATGTAGACCTGAAGATGCAAAATAAAATGCGAAACAGGTCGTCTGTGAGATTATATTGGAAATCGATGTGTTAATTTGGCGCAACTTAATTTACATTTTGACAACCCATTCTCAAGTTCGCAAATTTAAATTTAATAATTTAATTTTAATTTTAAATTTTTGGCTGGAGAAATTGCTCCGGAAAATGTATCCATCTCCCTGCCCTATTGACATAAGTTGCCAAAATATTTTGCGAACATGCCAACTTATATTGAATACCCTTATTAAACCAATATTTTAGCAGGCGTCCCATCCTGGGATTCCGATGGGTGGAAGGCCTCCTCCTGGAAAAAGATAACGACAAGTGCATCATGACCATCGCAAGGGAAGGGGAGGAATGGACCAAGTTTTTAGAATCGGATCCCATAATTTCCACCCGTCGGGCGGGGGATGATGGTCTTCTCCTAAGAATGGTGATGTTCCTGCTGGGGCGAAAAGTTTGCTCGGAACAAGTTCTTCTTACCTCGGATCAAACCACGATTATCGTGGCCACCTTGAACGCACAAAAGTTTCTGGATAAAATTCGACAAAAATTGGGAGATTTGTTAATTTCTGGATTTGGCGCGAGTTCTGAGCGGGGTACAATTTCGGAGAAAAATAGTGAAACGTAAGTAAATTAGAATTACGAAAAATAAATTTCTGAAAATCTTTTTAAGTAGCTACTTTATGCGAAGACTTTGTCCGTCTGTCTGTCTGTCCGTTTGTCTGTCTGTCTGCCCGTCCGTCAGTCAGAAGGATAACGGGAGAACGGATCGAGATAATCAAAATCGGTTTGTGGCATCTTACATATCACCCCAGGGGGAGGATGCTATCAGCTTTTGGGGCCAGTCGGAACACCGCCACTGGCGCCAGGGGGTGTGGTCGGGGCGAAATGAGATCTTTAGTGCGATTAGATTTATGGATGAAATAGAGTGAAATCGAGTGTTCCCGCGTTGTGCCACACCCCTTAGCGTGAGGGGGTGTGGTCTGCGGAAAATGAGATTTTCACTGAAATTGAGTTTATAGATAAAATTATTGGAAATTTAGTATTTTCGCTATGTTGTGGAAGTGGTTGCGGTGAAGTGGTCTGAAGCTACTTCCTTATGTGCGTTTATGACGGCTTATTTATTCTTAAATTATTGTATTTATGTACGATTAAATTATTAATTTGCAGAGGACTTGACACCACAACGAAGGGATTTATTCAAGACGTTTTTAACTTTTGTTCCTTCACGACAAAACGGATGCCTGAAAGTGCTCGGGATTTTTTAAAGAATACAGTTCTTACTGCGGCGTACGGATTGGTGATGGCGATTAAAGGTGTGGATCCTTCCGTGGCGGAATTTGAAGTGCCTTTGAAAGAGCTTATCTTGCAGTTGGATACGTTATCTAAGAGAGAAGAGGTGAAACAAGTACTCAAAACTAGGTATGGATAAATTCCTTGTATTTATTTAAATTGGTTTTATGATAAGTTCTAGACACTCTACGCTAGAATTTTTTGAATATATGTAATTGCAAATGAATTTTGTACATTTAATTGTACAAATAAACCCTTGCAAACGAATATAAAAAAGTAGCGTCAGAACGATCGAAATTTCCTTTAAAGTGTCACCGTATAAGACAATCATTTATTTGTGACCCTTGACCTCAAGGTCATGAGGTCAAAAATATTAACGTAATCACAATCGTTGTCAAATTTCCTTTAAAGTGACACCCCATATAACAATTATCTATTTTGTTGACCCTTGACCTCGTCCGCAAGGTCATGAGGTCAAAAATATCAGCGTCTTCAAAATCTCGGTCAAATTGTCTTTAAAATGACACCCCATATGACAATTATGTATCTTTTGACCTGTGACCTCGTCGGAACGGTCATAAGGTCAAACATTTTGACGCCATTGAATTCGTGGTGAAATTTCCTTTAAAATGATACCCCATATGAAAATTAAAGTTAAATTTAATTTGGACCACACCCCCTGACACCGTTGGGTGTGGTCCGATTGACCCAATTTCCGAAATCGACCGAGAAATAAAAATTAGATGCACAATGCGGAAAACGGGGTTTGATTATGTTGACTCGTTCTGGAGATATCCTGCTTACGGACGGACAGACGGACGGACAAAATGATCACAATTAGTAGCTGACGCTACTTAATAACTTGATGGGGATATTCATTAAGAATTTGTATGTTCCCATCGCAATATAGTTAAGTATGTCATGAAACATATATTCATATTTTGCGAAGTATGTAGACAAACACATACAATTTTGAGAACTTTATTTTGTTACTAACAATAAGAACCCGTGATGAATACACACCCCGAATGTCAACGTGTCTGAATTTAGTATGAAAGGTATATTTATAATGTAAACTTTACATAGCTGCGATATGTATATACATATTTTGCTATAAAAAATTGCTCCCATTATTTTTATTGAGCGCCAGTTTGGCGACCATTGTTTGGTCGCCTTCAGACCAATCGGCGAAAGTGGTAAAAAAGTGGTAAAAAAACTGGTACAAAAATATGAAAGTACCGAATGGCGAAATTACTGTCATATTTGGTTGAAAAGTTTTTCGCCAAAAGGCATTTACAGATATTTAAACATCTGTAAATGCCTATTGGCCATAATTCTGCAAAACATTTTAGCCGAAAGGGTTTTCGCGAAACTGACCGTATTTTATTTTATTATTTTACTTCGTGTATTTTAGGCGCGGGTCAACGGAAGAACAATGGAAGTATTTGGACGATATGGAACCACCCTGTAACTATCGAGAAATGACGATCGTCCCCTCCATGCAAGAACTCATGCGGGAACGTCGAGAGGACGTCTTCCTTCGGCGGAACAAAACCCGCGGTGCATACGCGAGTCCCCTGGACTATCTGGATATTCAATTCCGTCTCATGAGAGAAGATTTCGTCTCACCGTTACGATCAGGCGTTCAAGAATTTTTGCGACATCCGTAAGACAATTAAAGCTTATACAAAATGTTATACAATTAAAATAAGGATACAAAATCGTTACCGTGCGGATTTACTAGTATGCTATGTCACGCTGGTTTCAATTTGTCGCCGGTAAAAATTTCTGCCAAATTAAAAAAAATTATCACGGTTTATTTAATTTTCATGCTATTGGATGATAATAAATTTGAATTTGACCATTTAGCGACAAATTAGGACCAAATGTTGTAGTATTCAAAGATTGCTTACCACAATATTTAGAATAATAATAAATTTGAATTTGGCGGAACCAATTTTTACCACGGCAAACTAAGAACAAATGTGGTAGTTACAGTATTCCACATATTTAAATTGTATAGTTATTGTGTCTTACATTAATAACGTGAGTTAAATTTTAGAATGGAATATTCTCAAGGACGGAAAAAAATGCCGCTAGGATCCATCCGAATATACAACAATGTGCAAATTCTTGGATCAGAATTGCTACGCGGGGTGACCCATTTCTGGCTCCGTTTGCCTGAAAAATTTACTCGTAAGGTAAAATGGGACCGATCCAAACGTCTCCTCCCCGGTTCGTTGTTGGTCCTCACGAAGGATGCGTTTAAAACTGGTTCATTCGGTGTTGTTGGGATACGAGATGCTGACAAATTGAAGAAGTCTGGGGAACTATCATTCATTCCAGAGGGAGACCCACCAAGTTACAATGACACAGATAATTTTATGCTGATAGAGAGTGAAGTTTATTTTGAAGCTTACCGGTAAATTAGAAGCATGGTAAAAAAATGATATAATTACAGTACGGGTTGAAATATCCATTTTTCTGCAACAGATATGTCCTGAAAACCCTACAGAATTTGGAATTGGGGGACTTTCCCATGGCAAAATTTTTGGTTGATGCTAGCTCTGAAATTTTGGCTCCAAGATATCTAGCAAATAATGAGACTGACAATGAACAAAAGAAAATGAAACTAGTTATCCCATCCAAGTAAGACAAGCCTGATGAACTCGACAATCCATTAGACGAAGAGTTGAAACCGCTGAAATTGGTTTATTCCAGGGAAGAGGACGATTACATAGCAGACCTGCTGACAAAATTGCTTAAAATAAATCATCCTCCAAAGGAAGAGGAAGAAGGAATCATGACGATTAATCCATTAATTGAAACAGACTGGCCATCTGGGGATACTTTAGGTTTGGACGAAAATCAATATGCCGGCTTCCAAGCGGCCATAATGAAGGAATTTGTCATTATTGAAGGACCTCCGGGAACAGGAAAAACTTATTTAGGTAGTGTAATCATTTAGGTAGAAAAAATTTTTAAATTTTTCCAGCACACTTTATTTCATTTTGAGTTCTCCGTGTATCTAATAGGGTTGAAAATAGCGGAAACATTGCTCAAAAATCATGACCTATGGATGTCTCAAAAATCAGCACATTCCGAGAAAATTGGACCAATAGTTGTCGTTTGTTACACAAATCACGCTTTGGACCAATTCCTTGAAGGAATTGCAGAAATATTAGAGCAACAAGGCAAAAAGAAAACACGAGAATTTGTACGCGATTGCACTACTAGTATTGTTCGCCTAGGAAGCAGAAGCAAGTCTGAAAAACTTAAAGAATTCGAGTTGTCCAATGTCAGAAACCGTGGTGGTTGGCGTGAATCCCAGGCGGAGTATGATCTACGTACCAGAGCCCGTCAGGCGGTACAAAATTGGGGATGTCAAGTCGATTATCTAAAGGAACAGTACAACGAACTTAAAGAAATGAAAGGTTTTCTAAATTTTATTATTTATTCGAATCTATATTATATTTTGAAAAGTCTGCGTTCAATGGAAGTGAAACGGGAGAGATTACCATATAAACGGCAGCCAAGCTGCATTTATCCATGGGAACAACGGCTAGTGCGGTCGTCCGTAGTTCACAACGGAGATTCTGTGCTCTCATGGCCACAGCCACTGTGTCCACTGCGTCGACTAGAGTTTCGCTGGGCTTATATGAATTCATTCCTTGTTTCTTGCAGGAATTTTGGATTTTCGGTGTCTCGCAGTATGGGACTCAGTACGTCCTGAATTTCCTCCGTGCTTATGGGGGTTATTCGAATCACTAGAATTCTTCGAATTTAATGATGCATTACTCTCACATAGAAACTTTGATGCTACGGCACTGGTTAATTCTTGGTTTGGTAGAAATCCGAATTCAAAGTTGCCCAAGAAAACCCCAGACTGTAAGTTGTTTTGTAAGTAATATCTACATAATGTTATAACATGGTTTCGAATTTTAGTGAAATTAGAGGTCGAGGAGGACGATCAACTTGAAAAAGAAGACTACGATCTCGAAGAGTTGCTGTCAACCCGAATGGTAGATGACTACCAGAGACGCGAATTCATCGCCAGCAATAAGCATGGAGATCCGCATGTATTAACTTTCCTTGACAACCTGTCATTGATGGATTGCAAAAAGAGGAGGTCAAAGCTTGAAGCAGAATTGATGACAGCTTTAGAAAAGCATAACATTCAAATAAACATCGGGACTGATCAAGAAGTAAATGATCAAACGATTCAGTTTATAAGAATGCGTCAAGTGCTGAACGAAAATCGTATCAACCTATTGCAAAATATACTACCTCGTCTAAGAGGCATGAAAATTGACAAGGAAGCAGTACACGAGACGCTTAAGGAAATGTGGGGTTCCCAGAAGCCATGGCGGAAAATATTCCCATCAGTCATATCTCGGTAAAGAAATTTCTTTAACCTCTTTAATAGATTATAGTCGTTAATCCATTTGATCGTGCAGATGGGAAGCATATCTAGTAGTAATTGAGCGGTCCAAAGAGCTGCTAAACGAACGCCGCAAAGAACTTGAACCCGAGCTGATTATAGCTGAGCGGAGGTCAGCACAAATTCGGAAATACGGTGACAGTCAGATTTTAAAGCATTGCAAGGTGGTTGGAATGACGACAACTGGGGCTGGAAAGCATTATGATATCCTGCAAAATTTGAATTCAAAAATTGGTTCGAATAAATATGTATATTTCATTTTATTATAAATAAGGGTTAAGATAATCATGTTATTATTTCAAAAATTGTAGTTATCGTAGAAGAGGCAGCAGAAGTTCAAGAGTCTCACATTGCCACATGTCTCACAAAAAGTTGCCAACATCTAATCCTGATTGGTAATTTTAAGGAATGACAATTAATTTGATTTTTGAAATTGCGTGATCAGGTTTACATCTTTCCTCTTTCCACGTAGGAGACCATCATCAATTGAAACCAAGTACCACAGTATATGAGCTGTCAAAAAAATATAACCTGGATGTGTCCTTATTTGAGCGGATGATCAACAATAAATTGCAGTCGTACAAATTAAAAGTATCCCTTTACTAGCTTGTCTGCCATGAATTTTTATCTGTACTAATCCTTGAATTCCTCTTGTCTGTCCGTCCGTCTGTCCGTCCGTCCGTCCGTCCGTCCGTTGACGAGTTTTTTGCATCAATTGATGCTGATTAAAAATCCCCTTGTCCATTATAGACTTGTTTAACCCCACCATTGGTATAGAACAATCCGAGCGCAAATGGTGCAAGTTAATTCAGCAAATAGATCGAGATAGGACTATAATTATGGAATAAGTAGCACCGTTAGTACCGAGCAATTGGTTATTAAAAATGATGCGTAACAATTGGGTCATCTATTTCCCCAAAAAAATCAATGATGGGTAACAAGTGGGCCATTTATTTCCCCCCAAAAATCAATGATGCGTAACAAGTGGGCCATCTATTTCACCCCAAAAATCATGTCAGAATTCTGTTCTATTTGTTCGATTATCCTGCACCATTAATGCAAAAATATTTGAAAATTCTATTCTAATCTATTTGCTCCATTATTCTGCACCATTGACGCTAAAATATATAAATTTTATACTTGCGGTTATTCAGCACATTTGGTCTAAAGTTAAATGAAAGTAATTCGGACATTTTATATATTTTCCCGTTGGTATTGCACCATCGGTGCAAGAATGTATAAGAGTCATGATCTATTTTGTCGGCTAATTTTGCACCTTCAGTGCTAACTTCTGTCTAAATAATTATGACAGGGTGAGCTACTTCTAACGTTACTACGGTTTATTATCACTTTATCAGGAACAACACAGAATGCGTCCAGAGATAGCCGATCTTGTTCGTGGAACAATCTATCCAGAACTTACTGACGCAACATCTGTCCTTAGTTATCCCGATATTCTTGGCATGACACAAAACATGTTTTTCATCTCGCACAAAGAACTGGAAAATTGCGTAAGCTAAAATAATTAAAAACCAAAGTTTTATGAATATTCAGCATTTTTCTGATTTTGACAGGAAGCAGATTCTATGAGCAAGTCCAACGAATTCGAAGCCGACTATTTATTCGGACTTTGTAGATATCTCATCCATCAGGGATATTCCCCTTCGCAGATAACAGTGCTAGCCACATACACAGGTCAAATGTTTCTCTTAAAGGGAAAGTTTCGAGGAATGGATGCAACCTCTGGGGTGAGGATAACGTGCGTGGATAATTTCCAAGGGGAAGAAAATGACATAATTCTACTCTCCCTCGTACGAAGTAATGAAGATGGAGCAGTAGGATTTTTAAAGGTGGAAAATCGAGTCTGTGTCGCACTATCGAGAGCCAAGTAATTCCGAATTTTACTGTGCTATCTAACTTTGCAACCATGATATTTTTTTTCTATTTTATATACCAGGCTAGGAATGTATATCGCTGGAAATATGGATATGCTCTCGCAAGGTAGCAAGATTTGGCCGCAAATTAAAGAGAAGCTGGGTCCAGGCAGGTTGGGAGACGGACTTCCCATCATTTGCAGGAATCACGGAACTGTTGAAAAAATTTCGAGGGGAGTCGACTTTCACACCCGTGCGCCACGAGGAGGGTGTACTCGCCTTTGCGAATCCGACCTTCAACTTTGTAACCATAAATGTACATACGTGTGTCATATCGAGGATCCTTCACACACAAATTTCAAATGTTTGGAAAACTGTGAAAAAACATGTCCTGAGGATGAAGCACATCCATGCAGGGATCGTTGTCATATCATGCCTTGCACTCCTTGTCGATACGATTTCACTCTGCGCCTGATGTGTGGACATGAGAAAATTGTTTTGTGTCGAGATAGATGGGAAGAGCAAATATGTAGCGTTAAAGTTCAAAAGATCCTGGCATGCGGTCATGTAACTGCGTCCATTCCTTGTTTTACGGTGTGTAGATTAAAACTAAGTGGAATTATTTCCAAGAACGGTAAAATTCATTTTGGCTATTTTGCAGGATGAGTCAAAAATTCAGTGTGAAGAATTAGTCGAAAAAATGCCGCCCTGCAACCTACACATCACACAAATGGCTTGCTACATCAACGCAGACGAATTTAAATGTCAAGTCGAAGAGGTTAAATTGCTACCCTGCCGACATACAAAGGGATTAAAATGTCACGAGGATGAGACTGAAATTCGATGTAAGACACAAATCATAAAAAGTCTGCCGTGTGGACATGAACAAATGGACGTATGTCATTTATCCGTGGATGAAGTAAAATGTCACAACCAAGTGAAAAAAGTGCTTCCATGCAAACATGAAGTGCGTACTATCAATTAATATCTTTCAAGTTTCTGGTTATAAATCAATGTACTCTTTTTTCTTTCAGGTAACCATCCTTTGTAAGGATAAAGATAACGAGAGACTTAAAAACATATGCAGAAATAAATGCACGATAAGACTGGATTGTGGGCATGCTTGCACCAAAATGTGTCATGCAGAAGATGATCCTGACCATAAGAATTACCAATGTAAAAAGGAATGCGCACGTGCTTGTAAATCCGGTCACAAGTGTGCCACAATGCACGCGTGCTTTAAAAAATGTCCTGTTTGCACTGTACCTGAGAAGAAGAACTTGCCATGTGGACACTCTGCAAAATTATCATGTCATGTAGATCCAGCATCGTATAAAAATTGTAAACATGTTTGCGAACGAATACTTCCATGTGGTCATAAATGTGATAAAAATTGTGGCGAAAGTTGTGGACCTTGTCAGGTATGATTTATAATTTAAAGATACTATCTTGCTCCGAGTGGAGATTACTGGAGATAATATTGGTTTTGACTTGTTTGTATAGGTTCCAACACCACACACCGTTCCTATCTGTGGACATGTTAATGTCTTCTCGTGCAGCGAAATACCTGATCAAGCGAAGTGTAAAACATTGGTTAAGTCGAAGAATAGATCGCCTTGTAGTCATGCTGTCTATGTTCCTTGCAATGTTGCAAATACGCGTAAGTAAAATTTCTACATAAAGTCAGGCCATAAAACGACCTAAGGTTATTCATTAGCTAATAGTAGAATTCTCGTAAGACATGGTTGTTGGTATAAAGCAATTTATTACGAGGTTTCGATGCTACCCTTGCATCACCATCAGATAAAATTTTTTTGAAGAAATATGTTGTAGACATGCAAAATTGGGATTAAAATCATGGATAATAATGCAACTGACTATTATTGTCGTGATAATAATGTTCTGAGTTGTGATTGGTTATAGGGCTGGGGCAACGTTAGAGGCGACCAATTCATATCACTGTCTTGATTCATATTGCTGGTAGTTTTCTTTATGTAAAGAGTAAAGACTTTCCAAAAAATTACTCATTAACCTTTTGTGCTTAAACTCTTTTTTTAATATGTTCAAACATTTTCGAGAAATCTGGTTTCATATATTTTGGAGGAGGATAATTGCATTAGGCTTCGTAGTAATTTTAACAGTTTTTTCGGTAGAACATGGTTCCTTTGGCTCACCTAAAAATATAACAACGAAGGTTTACACTATTACTTAATTTTACCAGTATCATCCGATGAAGTTCTTGCCCACTGCAGTCAGAAATGTGGTTACACGTTTCCAGAAACGGATGGGGGTTGTGGTCACAAATGCAGCGGAACTTGTGGAACGTGCTCAGGGGGACGTTTCCATGTCAAATGTGATTCCCCTTGTGGCCGTCTTCTTGTCTGCGGACATGTGTATGATAAGAAAAATTGAATCCCTCACACATTTTATTGTAAAATATTCAATGTGTTTTGTTTAATTATTTAGATGCGAATTTCCATGTTCAAGCGAATGTCCACCTTGTTCAAAACCGTGTGGTATGAAATGCGAACATTCAGAATGTTCAAAAAGTTGTGGGAGACCTTGTTCCGTTTGCAGGGTTGGAATAATTTCAAATAAGTAATCAATATATATTTTTGGAAACATTGTATAATTAGCGCCACGTTTATTTCAGGAACCTTGTTCATGGAAATGTCCACATAAAGCGTGCACAAAATTATGCGGGGAACAATGCGACCGAACCCCTTGTGATGAACCCTGCTCTAAAATTTTAGCCAAGTGTGGACACCCATGTATCGGATACTGTGGCGAGCCTTGCCCTCCACTCTGCCGGGAATGTGATCTAAATGAATTACTAGAATTCCAGCTGCTGTATACAGAGGATGAACCAGATTCTAGGTAACAAGTGTAAAACTTGTCACATATTAAGTAAATTTAAAATTTAAAAAATCCCATCGTAATTTAATTAAAGATTTGTCTGGCTACCGGATTGTGGTCATTGCTATGAAGCACTCGGATTTGAAAAGTTTTTAACAGTGAAGACCAATGGGGGTGATGGTGATGACGAAATTGTCGTCAAACGGTGTCCCCGATGCCAAACTGTAATTCGCAATTGTCGCCGATTCGGAAATATTCTGCACAAAATATTCAGCGAAGTTAGAGAAGTTAGCGAAAAGATTTATGGAAATTTAAAAGACCTTCAAACATATCAGGCAGTATTGCTGAAAATAATTTCAAAACCCAAATGGTTCACCCACGTTCCTGAACAGATGCGGGAATATGTAGTTAATTTACTGACGGAGAACCTCCACAAAACTGGAACGTCTCGCATGTATGTCCGGGAGTCTCCTCGTATATTGAAATCTGTAAGAACTACATAATAATCTGCCAATTCTTTAGAAATATCAATCTTCCTTAAAACGACTGACCATCACAAATTTCTATTTAATCACAGATTGACAGCCATCTTCTCAACAGTTTGGCCATTATTGTACAAGTGGGGGACAAATTGTCTCGTTCTTTAAAAAATATGGAAAAAAATCTTACTGATAAGGACCCCATGCTTATAAAATTTATGAGAAAATGCAACCGTTTATACGACCAACTCATCCACCACCGAAAGCTTCCGTTGAGTCGATTTGAAATTACAAATTTAGAACAGGAGATGATTCGGATTATCGACTGCTCAAAGTTGTACCGATTTCACCAGTACAAATCGCGTGATGAGGTGGGCATCGTGTACGATCGAGTGGACATAATCTTAGAGTCTTGTCGGCCTTACACGGGAGAAAGCCAGAAACGGTGTTTGGAGTGGTTGAAGGTAATTAATTGATTAACTAATATGAAATAGGGCATCCGAAATCGGTTTCTCTAATTACGTAAAACCGGTTTTCGATTTACCCGAAAGCCAGTTGCACAATTTTCCAAATACACGGTATTGACAAAAAACCGGTTTTACAATTTTGTAAAAATCCAGTTTTCTAAAAAAAACGATTTTTACACTCTCGAAAACGGGTTTTCGTTTTTTAATAAAACAATCTTTTTTCCAGCTAATACTTAATGTTTCTTATTGTTGAGATAAGAATTAAGTATTCTGGAATCCCTTGTTCCTAAGTTTATACTTAATTTTAATTCTGTATTTGATTCTTGTCTATTATTTTTGCATTTTTTTAAATTTGTACTAAAACCGATTTTTAAACCAGGTTTAAAACCGGTGGTTTTGCATAGAATCGAAAACCGGTTTCGTAAAATTTTTCAAAGTCCGATTAATCGAAAACCGGTTTTACGAAAATTTTAAAAATCGGAATAATCGAAAAACCTATTTTTCAAAATTTTCCGATTTTGGATGCCCTAGTATGAAACTATGTTGGTTCTGAATTACCCAGAAATTGGAAGATATATGCCAAACCGGGCTCGGTATTTCGGACGGTGAACGAATAAAAATTCTGGGCGCTCTTGGAATGGGAAAAGGTCATTGGTTCAAGTGTCGGAATGGTCACATTTATTCGATTGGAGATTGTGGTGGTGCAATGGAGACGGGCAAATGTAACGAGTGTGGTGCAGCTATTGGTTGGCAAGAAATATATTACAGTCATTTAATTTATTTTTTGGACATGCGTTAATGTGATGTTTAAATTTACGCAAATTTTTAGGTGGTCAAAGCCACGCACTACTGGCGGATAATACATTAGCTACGGAAATGGATGCAGCCACCGCACCCGCCTGGCCGACAGCTTTGCGGCAATAAGTTTATTATACTATTTAAATAGTTAAGACATTCTGGTAGTTAATCAATATCTAAATGTAACTAGTTCCATTATTGTGTCAGCAGTGGGTGTTACATCCCCATATTTCGGAATGCTGTGTAGCTAAAAAATTAACTTCAAATTCAGCAAATTCAAGTAATTATGTATATTATTGAAAAAAAATTTATGAGTGTAATTATGTAATTATGTGATATCAAACAAAACTATTTTTGCCTAAAAATATTTTTGCGTGATGAAGAAATTCTGTATGAATATCGAAAGCTTGCAACAATAAATATTTCAAGTTAAAATGTCCTCTGATACCGATGTAATCGATCAATATAATTATGTATATGTTTTGGAAATTTTGTAGTAACGAAGATTCCAAAAATTCAGAATAAATGAAACAACAGAAATAATTAAAATGATTAAAACCCCCAATTTCCGTAATTTCAATGAACAACGGACAGTAGTTTCACATATTTAAAGAATACCGTTGCACCTGAATAATTGCTAAAAATTGAGAAATGACAATTCTTCCAAGATGCTATCGTTCACGTGGAGAATCAACTGTCACACTAACCTCATTTCACAAAACCAAGTAAATTAACAAGTTTCCATTTTACAGAAACTTATGCGTTTCCTCAAATTTACAACTCAAAGCAACGATGCATAAAATAATATTTATTGCCTGGAACATGTAATAAGTAAATTAATATTAATAACTTTACGCAAAGTGGTTGTGTAACGATGACGCTTGTTTTTTTAACCATATTGTCCATCAATCATTTAATTTACAATACGATTCGTTTGATTAAACTTGAATAAAATACTTACATATACGGAGATCGTCTCGTGCGGTCTTCAAGGAATTTTTACTGAATAAATTAAGCAGAACTCTTCAGTTTCGTTTAAACGAAACCTGGAAACCTCTGGTTGGAGAAACTACAAAAATTAATTTATGCCCAACCACACTCCGCTCGGCCACCCGGTACGGCAAGAGATCAATTATTTCGATTCAGTGTATAATTAAATGTCAAGATTTGTCCAATTTTCGTACAATGTCACGTTCCGTGTCTATTTATAAAGCACATAATTCTACTCAAACTGAACAAGAAGAGAATCAAACCACTTGCTGAAGCGAAATAGTACTGAATATTACTCGACGTTTAGTTTGGATCGGATTAATTATATCTTTTCTCAAGTTTTTTGGTGGCACCAATTTCATCCTCGTGCTACTGCTTGGCCTGAATATGCAAGGTAGGGGTTGCATATATTTGACGTAAAATGAGGCTCGTTTTCTTCGTCTAAATAAAATTGCAAGAGTTATAAAAACGAGCTTCATTTTTAAATACGAAAATTTCCAAATTCTTATAGAAATCACATACAGGGTGGTTATAAAGTTCAGGTTACAATAGGAAATTTTTCAATTGGGAAAATTCGTAAATGTCAATTATTTACCGAAATTTTGCCTCTGAAATTCAATATTTTAACAATTTTCCCATCAGTGTTCCACAAGTTTTGATAAAAATTAATAAAAATCTCAATCCCAAATCCGTAACTAATGGAAATTTACGAATTTTTCTCATTAAAATTTTTTTTTTCGTTGTATCTGAAATTTTTAAACCAGCCTGTACATGTACATAACTTGAAGTAAATGTAATCGTACTTTCTAAAATTTCAGCATCCAATGCATACGACTGCAGTAATGTTGACCACGACTTAATCCAGGTGTCATGCACTGGTTGGAATAACAATTGTTCTGACGGTTTTCGCCGACTTTGGGTAGACAAGGCAAACGACATCAAGCAGTGTGTCTGCTATCGAGAACTGACCGCAGAGGAGGCTGCGATCCGTGCGGATTGCAAATGCGCGGGTTCGACCGCTGTTTGCGTGGATATGGGAACCCAACGTTCGTGTGACTATGTCATGGCCGCATGCAGTTTGAAATATAAATTACAGGTGTGCAAAAGTTTGAAGGTCAATTCCCTCTCCTTTGAATTATATGACAATGCTACCTGCTTTGTATTGAATACACTATTTAACGTGGTGATCCCTGTAATTGAAGGGGTTGATTCAATAATTGCTTAAAATTGGTCGTTGTTTGGGAAATTAACTAATTTAAAATGAACTTGATTGCCCGTCTGGTTTAATTGGTTTGGGATACAAGTAATAAATTATATAAGTATGATGAAGTAGGGATTGGGGCATTATTTATTCATAAAGGTACTGCACATTAGCATGGTTGTAAATATGATACATATTTTCGCGAGCATGATTTGCGCTGGATGTCTTTTTATTAAGGGGTGAAAGCTATTTATAAGATCGTTATGTCCGTCCGATGGTCCTTCAACTTTTGAACGAAGAGAAATATATACTTGAAATTTTGAAGGTTAACTCCTAACGTCAAAGGACAGGACGAGTTCGAAGATGGACAGTGTATGTTGGCTACAGCTTCCAATGTGAAAAAGTCATGAAATGTCATTTATTGGTCGAATTTCATAGATACATATATCAATATATCAATTTGAAATGAAATGTAACCAAGAATTAAATGGTGACCTCCAGTTTGACCTCAAAGGTCGCGAATGGTCATAGCAACGCCATCAACTGTTAAATTTGATACATATTTCACAATCGTTGAAAACACGTCACACGTGTCAAATTTTGGACGGGGAGAAACAATATGTTGTTCAGTTTCAGTTCAGCTGCTTTAATCCCTTGGTTACATTAGTTATAACGGATTATTTTATCTTCTATACCTGTTCACATTATTACATATGCCAAAAGAAAATGTAGGATGAATTGACGAAGGCAGAAGAGTAACTTATGTATAAAACGACTAAATTTATGTATGTATGCAGTCGTGGTTTTTTACTTAATTCGTAGTGATATTCGTAATGATATTTTTGTATTGGGTATGAGTTGACTTTTCCTTTTCTTGTATAAAATCAGTCATTAAATTTCCTAGTCCATAGATTTTCCTGTAATAAGGCAGGACTAGACATATTTTGTTAGGGCTGTATAACAAAAAGGGACTGTATTTGTGTTTAATATTTTGAAGTAATAAATCGGGATACCCTCTGTTCTTAAATTTAGAAAATACATTTACAAGTTCGGTTTCTGTGTTCTTTGCTTTTGAACATATTTTCTTAATTCTTAAATCTTGGCTAAAAGGTAATGATTCAATTAACAATTTAGGGTAGTTGGATTCATATTGTAAAAAACACTTTAAGCCCTTGGCTTTGAATATAAGGATGTTACAATTTTGTTCTGTCTGCTTAACGTGCTCGTAAAATCTAAGAAAGTGGTTGATTTGAAACTATGGTCGCCAGTAAAATTTCGGTATGCATCCTTAAATATATTTTCACACCATGTATAAATATCCGAGATGTTATCACGATTTACCAAAATAAACCGTCATCTACAAATCTTTTTCGCATATAATCTCAGGATGTTAGATAAGCGTTCCTTCCATTTCATACCACGCTGTAATTTGTGTAACCGTAACTAATGGATCGCGACAGCTATTTCTACACGTTTATTAGCCGACCAGTGAAAGTATTCATAGATTAAACTCTTTATTATGTACAAATTCAAACCATTTGTCACAATTTTTTTAACAATTTAAACAATGTAGCCATACACAAATTATGTAGTGTACTACGGTTCATTCAAAAATAATATGCAGTAAAAAATCTGAAAGGTTACTTGGCGGATGATTTTTTTCCGTGACTTCCCAGTTTCTTTAAGAATACATTATTTTCCACCTTTCACACAATTTTAAGTTGAAAAGTACAATAAATATGCATAATCAAATCGCTGTCAATGGCTATGAGCAACTTGAGCCATTTGACATTTTAAAAGATTTTTGGGGACTTTACTGCAAATTAATTTGAAAGAACAAAACAGAGTAATTTGATTTCTTTTTTTCTTTAAATGCGTAGAAGAGTTCTATACAATTTAGTAATCATTAACTTGCGAGATCAAACAATACAATACAAACCAGAATACATATTAGTGGTACTTTCGTTAATATTGCCTTGCATTTTGCATATGTGGAGTGGAGTATGTTCACATTACAAATTATGATTTTATCAACCTGATAAAAAAGATAAGAGCGAAAAAGGGCAATGCTTAAACATTGGGAACGTTTCCCTTACCCAGATCTGACACTAACCTATCATACATTAGTGTATACTTACTTTTGTCAATAATTTCATACATATAAAATCGGGTCACGAGTCGCTTTTCCAACACTTAAGGTTAATAAGCATCATCTGACAAGATAAATTCAATTTAATAAATGTTAAAACCTTAACCGAAAATATTGTACTAATTAATCAGCTCTCAACGTGTAAAGAAGTCAAAGTAATTATCAATTTGACGAAATTGAGTAATAAAACTGTTTTATAATAAAATGGATGAGTTTTGCGGGTCACTTTTTTGGGTAAAATTCTAATTTTTTATTTATTTTTTATTAAAAAAAATGTTCAATTTGACTTCAATTAATTCTTTTAGGATCGGAAGGTCACCTGGGACACGACCGACCCATATTTCACACCTTGCTTCGAAAACACCGTTCTCACCTGGCTCCCTGCAGCCTTCCTCGTTTCATTTGCCTTCTTCGATATAAACTTCTCCTTAAATTCCAGGAAAAGGGAGGGCCTGCCCTGGAACCCGATTAACATTGGGAGATCCTTATTAAGCATAGGTCTCCTCGTGGTGGGGGTGGTTCACTTAATTTTACTACAAAAATATGAGGAAACGAGTAAAGTTGAAAATGTGGCTGTGATTGTGAGATTAGTTTCTTATGTGAGTTTGTAGATAAAAATAATTTTTTTAAATGGATGCAACAATTATAATTTGAATATTTTTTTTGTATTTTTAGATTTTAGCATTATTTCTCTTAATTCTTGGCAAATTGAAAGGGATCCGGGCATCCGGGACTCAGTTTTTATTTTGGTTGTTAGTAACACTTACTGAGGGGATTTTATTTAGAACGGCAGTAAGGAAATATGACGATACGGTGGAAGAGGTGAGTTATTGAACGTTATTCTTCTCACAATGGAACCTTTTTTCAAGTTACACTGTGATCGCCTAGCGAGTTATGTCAAAAAATTTAGCTAAAAATTAGGATCACATGACAATTATCTTTCTGTTGAATGGCCTTTTGAAGAAAAATATTGACGGTTAAGCTCAATTTTGGAGAAAATTTTCTTGCTTTTTCCTCCTCGGGGCGAAACCCAGGGAGGAGTGCGACCTTTGACCCCCAATATTTTTCTTCGAAAGGGCTATTCAACGGAAAGATAAGTGTCACGTGACTCCTAATTTTTGGCTAAATTTTTTGATAAAACTCGCTAGGATATCCAGGTGTAGCTTGGAAAAAGCTGAGAGTTTCTCATGTCCATGTGACTTTAGACTATTATATTGTGAAATACATAATGATCGTCACTTCAAATGTTGAGTGCATTACATTTCCTTGTACGTTCACAGTCAATGCAACGTCACATATACCTCGTGCGGTTTGTTATCTTCCCATTGTGTGCCGGGCAGCTGATCTTCCACTGCTTTTCCGACAGAGATAAGGCCACTTGTGGAGTGGGGAAAAAGAGTCCCATGCCGTTTGAAGTGAGTAATAAGGAAAAACGTTTAAAATGTTGTCATCATTCATTAAATGAGATATTAATTTAAATGAAATGTGCATATGCATATTAGAAGAAAAAGCTACTATTTAATATGATTTTTTAGACGCCATGCCCTGAAAAAGAATCCTCTTTCATTTCCAAAATAACTTATTCTTGGTTCGATTCGATCGCCTGGACGGGGTACAAAAGACCTTTGAACTTTGAAGATTTGTGGGATTTGAACAAAGATGACAGAGCGGATGAGCAAGTTCCAATTTTTATGAAGTATTGGGATGCTGCGGTTGAAACAGCAAAGGCGTAAGATTTTAATTGATTGATCGATTGATCTATAATAATCAGTGTTTCTTTTTGTGCGCACGAAATTATTTTTATGCATGCACGGTGCATAAAAATGCATAAAAATGCATAAAAACGCATAAAAATGCACGAAAATGCACGAAAATGCATGAAAATGCATAATAATACATGAAATGCAACTTATGCAAGGAATTTCATATTTTAAGGAAATTTTATATTTTACTACTCTGTCAAGTTGGAATTTGTACACATATCGAATAACATGAAATTATTATTCGGCAAGAAAATTTCAAACAAATTACAAGTACCGTAAAACCTCTATTTATAGCCCTCTTCTAATTATAGCCGGTCTCCAAATATAGCCTGGTCTAGAAACCAAGATTTGAAAATTTTAGTCGGGTCTCTAATTATAGCCGGGTCCCCAATTATGGCCGGGTCCCCAATTATGGCCCGTCTTGTCCGCTGTGTCCCTGTTCATAGTCCATTAAAGAAAAATGTTGCACATTATGCCAATCAACGAATAAGTTGAACTACAATTTTTTCCTATTAATTTCAGGTTAATAATGGATATAATCATGACAGAACATTTAAAAAACCTGCTATACTTCGTTTCAAGATGTAGATTAAAAGTGAATGGGTTACTTATGGCTTATCGTGCTAAATTAGAAAACTCAAATTGAGTCAAAATGAATAATTTTTGATTTTGTAACATCTAAAATTTTTGGAGCAACAAAATTTAACCGGGTCTCTAATTTTAGCCGGGTCCGTGACCCTAAGTTTTGGATTTTAGCCCCGGCTATAAATAGAGGTTTTACGGTATTTGTTTTGCAAGCCCGTATTCAGCCGTACATAAAAATCGTCATGCATGTTCATTCATTTTCATTTTCAAAACTTTAATTCATTTTTCGGATTGAAAAATGAAAAATATTTTTACACTAAAATACTAAAATGATGAGGAAAATATTTTCAATATACGTCGATTCCTCAGTTAATCGAATATTTAGAAAAATTACATTATTCCAATATTATTTGCATGTAAATTATTTTCGTGCATTTTCGTGCATTTTCATGCACTTTTTCGGATTTTTAGTGGGTGTTATTAAACGTTTAAAAACATTTTCGTGCACTATTTTCGTGCAGGTGTTATTTAACAGCAGAAACACTGATAATAATAATTCTACAACAAGCTCTGTCCTCCTGCTCGATTATAAATTTGAAGATTAAACCAATAATTGGTCCTGCCCCATAATTTCGAGCCACCTGCCGTCAGTTAAGTTATTTGTAACGCCCAAGTTATAGAGATCTCTGTTTGCCCCGAATATATTAAATTATGCGCCAAAACATACCTGGCGTCACCACATTGGTACTTTACGTTTCAATAAAGTACATTGCCGTCCCATGAGCCAAAACTTTATCCAAACCTATTCCATTTGTATTCGAGGCCCGGCTAGCCGGGCTCACTTACTAGCAAGTAATAAATTTAATTCTATTCGATTGTAAATTTAGAAACATCACCAAAACCGGAAAAGCCATACAAGTTTCAATTGTTTCCATCTTGTTCAAATGTTACTGGAAAACGTTATGCGTGGCGGGACTCATGAAACTCTTACAAGATTTGTTACCCTTCATCTCACCCGAATTAATGAAGTAAATGCAAAAAAATAATACTACATAATTTGTGAAATTTGTATGTTTATACTACTGTTCAGCCGATATTAATAGTCTTTAGAAATTTTTCTGAGAGGTTATTTGGTTTTTTGAAAGTAATATCAATCATCTGCCAGGAAACCTCTCAGATTTTTTTCCGACTATTAATATCGGCTGGACAGTACTTTTGAACTGAATTTCTCCACAGATTCCTCGTCGCCCACGTGGCCCCCCAAAGCACCGAAGAATCCTGGAAAGGCTACCTCTACTCCGGCCTTCTCATCTTGTGCTCCATCCTGCAAACGATTTTCGGCGTGCAACACATGAAACGCATGATGCTTCTGGGCATGCGCATCCGTACCGTGCTATCGTCCGCCATCTACCGGAAATCCCTAATCATAACTTCCGCCTCTAAGAGGGATACCACCGCTGGGGAAATTGTCAACTTAATGAGTGTCGATACTCAGCGACTTTTAGACTTAACGGGCTTCTTCTTCATGGCGCTGACAGCCCCAATTCAAATTGGGTTGTCAATCTACTTCCTCTACAACACGCTGGGTGTTTCAGTCTTCGCCGGTTTGGCGGTAATGATCCTGCTAATCCCGTACACGGGATTTACGCAATCCCGCGTGAGAAACTTGCAAATGAAACAAATGCTCATTAAGGATCAAAGGGTTAAACTAATCAACGAAATTTTGGCGGGTATGAAAGTTCTAAAACTGTACGGGTGGGAACAATCTTATGCGGATCAAATAACAAAGTTGCGGGATCGCGAGATGATGTTATTGAGGCGCGCGGCGCTGTACGGAACGAGTACGATGTTTTCCTTTACGTGCGCCCCGTTTCTAGTTTCACTGTCAACCTTCGCGGTTTACGTGCTGACGGATGAAACGCATAATTTGAATGCGGAGAAAACGTTTGTTTCGTTAAGTTTGTTTAATATTTTGCGGATGCCGATGACCATGTTGCCGGCGGTGATTGCAATCATGATTCAAGCGATGGTTAGTGTGGAGAGGATTAATAGGTTCTTGAATGCGGAGGAACTTGAGAAGAATTTAGTGACTAAGGAGAAGAATGAAGGTTAGTTAATTGTTAGACTGTTTCAATTAGTAGCAGGGCTTCATAATTAATTATCAAATTAAATAACATGTTTAAAGAAATTATTAATTACTAATTAACCTTAACTGGTACTACCGAAGCTAATTTTGATTAATAATTAATTAGAAAATCACTAAAGATGACCAAGTAATTGGTCAATTTTCCAATTAGTTACCTAATTAATTGGCTTAATGAGCAGCCTGAGTTTAATTACTAATTACTAATTAATTAGGCGAAATATAATATTTTCCTTCTAATCATCAATTACTAATTAATTCGAAAGGTGGCTAATTAAGAAGCTCTGATTAGTAGTAACCGATTAATTATTTAATTTTTAGCTGAACCAGTTGTGATTAAAGATGCCTCATTTTCATGGACCGATGAAAGTGTGACTTTGGCCGATATCAATTTTAGCGTTAAGAAAGGGTCGTTGACGGCTGTCGGTTAGTTCATTTTATCGAAAATTTTATAGTTTTTTTATTAAAAGGTTAATCAATTTTTAGTTGGAACTGTGGGCTCGGGAAAAACGTCTTTGCTCTCAGCCCTTCTCGGAGATTTAAAGAAACATAAGGGCTCAGTAAATATTGACGGTTCAGTTTCCTACGTAGCACAAACGGCTTGGATTCAAAACGCAAGTTTAAGAGAAAACGTCCTTTTCAAAGATGGTTTCCAAGAAGGAAAATATAAAAGTGTGATTGACGCCTGTGCCCTGGGTCCTGATCTAGAATTATTGGAGAATGGAGACCAAACCGAGATTGGGGAGAAGGGAATTAATTTAAGCGGTGGCCAAAAAGTAAGCATACCTTAATTTTTAAATTTCTAATTTTTAAGGTTCCCATGGATGACGCGTTGGCGTGTAATCTCACTTTATCCCTATCCAAGTGCAATTTTTAAAATCGAATCAATTCCATGAATTTTCCGGTAAACGCAACCTCTGATATTTTAATCTATATAAAACTAATTTTTGGTACTACAAACAAGTCGATTTGAAAAAAATTGCCAGTTCGTTTGCCACTTTTTCATACTAAATTTCCTCAAAAATTAATTCGTTAATTTTTTTAAATCGACTTGTTTATAGTACCAAAAATTAGCTTAGGTTAAAATATCAAAAGTTACGCTTATCTGAAAATTCCTGGAGTTGATTCGATTCTAAAAATTGCACTTGAATACATTGGATAGGAGAAAGGTGAGATTACGCGCTAACGCGTCATCCATTGGAACCTTAATTGAAATTTCTAATTAAAATCGAAATTTTTACAGCAACGTGTTTCCTTAGCCCGGGCAGCCTATAAAGAGAGCGACATCTATCTCTGGGATGATCCACTTTCTGCGGTCGATGCGCACGTGGGAAAACACATCTTCGACAAACTCATCGGACCGCAAGGTCTCCTTAGCTCGAAAACTCGAATCCTTGTAACTCACGGGGTCTCCTTCCTTCCAAAAGTTGACAAAATCGTCGTCCTAAAAGACGGTAGGGTCAGCGAATCTGGAACATTTCAACAACTTCTAAAAAACCGCGGAAGTTTCGCCGAATTTTTAGCGCAACACTTGGACATCGGGGAAGGGGAAGAAATTGACGAAAGTTTTGTCGAAGAAATCGGAGAAATCGTTGGCATGGAGACATTACGTCGAAACAGTTCAAAGGTTGATGCCCTAAAAAGAAGGTCGACCCAGGAAAGTATTAGAAATAGAAAGAAAGGAAATTTAGTAAAATTGGAGGATGAAAAACCAAAATTGATTCAGGCTGAAACCACAGCAGAGGGAAATATTCAGGGCGGGATAATTTTTGAATATTTCAAACAAGGCGGGTTCTTAATCTTCATGGTGGGGATTATGTTCTCCATAACGTCCAATGCAGCTTCAACATATGCAAATATCTGGTTATCGCAATGGTCGAAGCAAGCCACGATCGATGAAATGGAGCGAAATGGAACGAACGATAGAGAAACGACGGACAAATATTTAGGAGTTTATGGCGGCCTAGGAGCCGCGCAGGCGGTTACGGTTCTCTTTGGGGCGGCAAGTATCGCCATGGCAACGTTGAATGCGGCGGAGAAACTGCATTTTGGCATGCTGAGAAAGGTTGTACGAGCACCGATGTGGTTCTTTGATACCACGCCGTTGGGCCGATTGATAAATAAGTTTAGTAAGGATATGGACACGGTGGATATCGTGTTACCCCAGAACTTGAGAGGGGGAAGTACGATTTTGTTTAATACGTTGAGTGCCATTGTCAGTATTGCGTACAGCACGCCGTTGTTTCTGACGTTTATTGCGCCGGTGGCAGTCTTCTATTTTTTCCTGCAGGTGAGTAATGTTTTTAATGAATTTTAACAAAAATTTTGCAAAATTTGAGATTTGGGTTAATTTTTGCAGAGATTTTACGTTGCCACATCTCGCCAACTCAAACGAATGGAATCCGTCTCAAGATCTCCAATTTATTCCAAATTTGGCGAAACAATTTCTGGTTCCACGACAATAAGGGCGTTCGGGCTGCAAGACGATTTTATAATTGAGAGCGATAAAAAGATTGATGATAACCAGCAAGCCTATTATCCCTTCATTGCTTCCAATTTGTAAGTAATAATTTAATTGGATCAAGTAATAATTGATTACAGTTTGGTCATTTGAATTAGAGACTCTTTTAGCATTTTAGAATTTTTTCCAGGGTAGCAACAAATTAGATAAAATTAAAAATCGTGAAGGGCCGTTCGTAGATTTATGGAATGAATTATTTGATAACAAATGTATTTTTTAATTGCATATAATTTGTGAACAGCACTTTTTAGATGTTTTAAATATTTTTCTTAGTTACCAGAAAATTTTAAAATTTACCAAAAGAGTCTCCAATTCAAACGACCCAACGGCAGTGGGCTATCAGTATCACTAATGAATACCTATTTAGATGGATAGCTACACGACTCGAAGCCATCGGAAGTCTAATCATATTTGCCGCCGCAATGTTTGCCGTTGCTTCAAGAGAGTCCATAGATCCAGAGATTGTCGGCCTTTCGATAAGCTCCGCCCTTCAAATCACAGCGCTGCTAAACTTTTTGGTGAGAACGGCTTCCGACTTAGAAACAAATATTGTTGCCGTGGAAAGGATTTCGGAGTTGAATTCGACACCACAAGAGGCCCCGTGGGAAACTGGGCTAAAACCTGCGAAAGAATGGCCAAGTGAGGGGAAGGTGGAATTTTCAAGGTATGAAACGCGGTACAGGGAAGGCCTCGACTTAGTTCTTAGAGGGATCAGTTGCACCTTTAAACCTGGGGAACGAATTGGGATTGGTAAATAAGTACGAAACAGAGGTCGACGCCGACAAATTTTCGGCGCAAGATTTTGGCAATTTTTCGGTGGCGTCAGCGGCGCGGCGTCGCAATATTACAGGAATAGGAAATCAAATTTTTCAGCGGCGGCGGCGCGTAAAATGCCGTACGCCGTATCGGCGGCGTACTATCGGCGGCGTCGACCTCTGCTAAAAAAACTTTTTTCGGTAGAGTTCAAATTGTAAATTGTTACTGACTTTGATTTTATTTAGTTGGGCGCACAGGCGCGGGAAAATCATCTCTAACACTTGCCCTCTTTCGGTTGATCGAACCAACTTCCGGAAAAATTTTGATTGACGGTCAAGACATTGCCGAAATCGGGTTGCACGATCTCCGCAAAAAAATAACGATAATCCCCCAAGATCCTGTCTTATTTTCAGGTATTCTGCGCACAAATTTGGATCCGTTCTCGGCGCATACGGACCAGGAGATTTGGGACTGTTTGGAGTCTGCGCATTTGAAAAGTTACGTCTCCACTTTGCCCCAAGGGTTGGAGTATGAGGTGGCGGAAGAAGGCCAGAATTTTAGTATGGGTCAGAGACAACTGGTTTGTTTGGCTAGGGCACTTTTGAGGAAAACTAAAATCCTGGTGTTGGACGAAGGTAAACAGGTTAAGGTTTCGGAAGTAATAGGGACATATTCAATTTAATTTCCGCCCGCCCTTAATGTTAATCAAATGGCCGTGATTTAGGCGCGTAGGAATTCTATCCCTCTTACTTCCGAAGTGAGCAATAGTCTCGAATTATCTCCAGTTGTATGCATACCTGTTAAATTGTTCTGCTTCATTCAAAACGCCTTCACTTTGAAATTCTATTTGAATTGTTCATTCATTCAACGAGTAATTAATTATTCATTTTTCATTCATTCAACGAATAATTCATTTATTCATTTATTCATTAACCCCATGTATTTAACATCAGGTAAAAATGAACTTATTCATATTGAAATGTTGAATTATTCATTCATTAAGTGAATTATTCACTCAATCGTTCATTCATTTCGGTATAATTGAATGAAGGTGAACAGGTATGGTTGTACTAAACTAATTTGTTTGAAATTAGCAACGGCCGCCGTGGATTTAGAGACGGATGACTTAATACAGAAAACGATAAGAGAGGAATTTGCAGAATCGACTGTGATAACGATAGCTCACAGATTAAATACTATAATGGATTCGACAAGGTATAATTATTTAAGTAGATATTTAATTACTTTTGTTAATTGTATGTAAATTGTGTTAATTCGAATTTAAACTTTTCGATTTGTTTTGTTTTTAGAATTGTCGTGTTGGATAAAGGTCAAATTGTTGAGTTTGACACTCCCGTGAATTTGATGAGCGATAAAACCACAATCTTCTACAGTATGGCTAAAGATGCAGGACTAACGCAATAAGAAAATTATTTAACAGTTAGTTGTAAAATAGATTATTTTAGCGTTTTATGTGCAAACTTAGTTGTGATAAATAGTCGAACAAAATATTTATATAAATTTCTCGATTACGTACAAATTTCCTGAAGCGTACCGGCAAATAATATAATTTTCCGAATTGTACCACACTTTTTAATATATATTAAACAAATTTCAAATATTGCAATAACTTCCTCGATAATTATATCGTGCTGTAATTTTATTCGAAAACGTCAGATATGGAGTATAAGTTGCCCCGTGTGACAAGGGAATTACATACATTAACTATATAAAATGTGCAAAATTTAAGCACATCTCGCCTGACATACAGATATTTATGCGGACAAGTATGCATCATAAATAAACGAAAACCTAAATACAAATGTCTCTTTACAGTGGAAAATTTTAAATGTAAGAAATTTAATTGTCATTTCCAAAATTTCCATTTAAGAAATGACAATTTAATTGGTTGCGAAAGTTTTGTCCTTGAAATTAACCAAAACCGATTTTTCATATTTAGTAAATAAGGTAATTTTCCTAAAATCCTTGGAGCTAATGGAAATGCACGATTTTTTCCACTGCAAAGAGACAGAAAAGCTAACCAGGATTTACATATATATACGTATGTAATTAGGTATGAAGTACAAATAACAGTAATATTCCAGCTTATCTCGCAATTACAACACAAGTTACAAATATGTATTTTACCCAAAGCCAAGTATTTACTCCTCGTTTCATTTTTTTTCATTTCAACTTTTATTCACGTGTAAATGGATATCAGTTAACAATCACTGGATTAGATAAGATTACTAGATTAACTCGTTTAGATTCAGGAGTTCAATATTATTTCTACCACGTTTCTTCACCCAAATCCAAATCTCTTTGGCAAGATGAAATCCTGGAAAAATTCCGACGACATTCACGAGTATAAAATATGCCGATGGTTTCCTATTATACGTCGAGTCAAAAATGTGATCCGTTACGTTGATAGATGCAGCTGTGAGCAAGATGAGAAGATGTAAGGTCCCAAATAGAATGCATGAAAACATCCCGTGACGTAGTTGAGTATAACTTGACACCTACAATGACCATGGGAAAGAATTTATTGTAATTGGTTATTCAATATTGGGAATGGAAGAATATTTAAAAATGAGCAGGGATGGGGGAAATACTTTGTATGTAAAAATACAGTATTTTGATCTTCGTTTTGCCCAGGGTTTGGATTTTCAGGGCTGTTACACCCACAAAAAGTTGAACATCTACCTTCAGAAGACAAATGAAAATACAGGTCTTGTGAAGAAATTAATATTTTATTACTGTCAAAATATGTACCTTATTTTCAGAAAATCAAGAAAAAAATGTGTTGACAGTGATCAAAAAATAATTTCTTCACAAGACATGTATTTTCTTGCGAATATTGTATTCTCCACCTGGATCCTCGACTTTTTGTGGCTGTCTGGGTGGGTGTCAGCCCTGAAAACCCAAACCCTGGGCAGAACGAAGATCTAAATACTAAAGTATTTTGCCCATCCCTAAAAATAAATAAATATTTACTTCCGGTCGAAGAAAGAATGTCCGAGTGAACATAAAATATCCAGCAGGTACAATTAAGGCTGTGAGGAATATGTAAATTGAAAATATTAGGTCCTGAACACAGGTCGCGAGCTGTTCTGAGCAGGGCAATCCCCGTAATTCCCTGAGAAGTTGGCGCGCACTAAAAAACTCTCCGGTGGTCGTGGATGTGTATCCTATTTTTTCAAGGTCTTTCCCCGCTATGGTTCTGAACGAATCGGTGCCCAGGACTCCAGTTTTGTTCATATTGAGTGTCAAATTTTTTATAAATAAATCAACTTCCGTTTCTATGAAAGATATGAAATATCATTAAAAAAGTGTTATTAGGATTATTATGTGAGAAACAAAGTACCAATTTTTGCGATTAAAGCTTTCCTGGAAGTTTCATCATTCTTGAAAACACTTATTGCTGTCAGGACGTGTGCGAAGGCGGTAAGCTGCAAATAAATGCAATTATAAAAAAACTAGGTTTTAAATATCTGTACAACAAATTATTTGTACTTCCGGCTAGGGGTGCAGTTTAGTTAATATTTGGAAAACTTAGGGAGGAACATGACTTTGATTTTGTGTCACTGACATCCTAATTTTCTCAAATTTTCAAGATTAAGTACTTGTAAAAGGGGTGGATAAATCATACATAATTTATGATTCTAGAGCTTTACATGCTCACATTCATTCATTTGCTATTTATTCAATATTCAAAAATTGAATGAATATTGAATGCATATTTTATTATGATTTTTGACTAAATAATTTTTAAACGAATATCTATCCAATTCGCGTGAATGAATATTTTTTCATTATTTATTTTTTACTCAATGCTTTATACAAAGAGAAAGTTGAGTAATTCATCTGATACTGTGAATTTTGAATAAAATGAATAATAAAGGAATGATGAATAATTAATAAATGTTGAATATTTTTTTTACAAATTATCAATGAGTGAATAAGGAATGAATATTTTTTTTCAAGGCTTTGAATAAATTAACTTTGAATGAATAAACATTTTTTGGACATGAATGCCTACAATGTTTCGAGGGTTGCAAGAAATGCCAATCGCACGGCACAAGTAGCCCAACAAAGTGTGGGAAACATTCGCCATCTAGCGGCGCGGTAAAATGAATTATGTATGTGTCGGCTGTGTGGCCGCGGGGAGGAGTTCTTAAACCTAACCCTTTCTTGCGGGTGAAATTGCTTCTTTCTTGCAGTTTATACATAAATTCGAATCCACTTACCATCTCAAACTTTACGATAATCTTGCAACAATTAGCATACTTAAACTTGATATGACTATTTCCCGCCGCCGGTTCAGCCCTGGAGTTAATTAGATTAGGTTCAGAGAAATTTTGAAGATCCATTTTAATACGAGGAAAATTTTTTCCGGTTTAGTGGAGATTAAAACAAGAAAATAGTATGGACAAATTGTTATTTTTGAATAAAGATTAGGTTAATCGTTTTTAATTATCACATAGTTTGTAAATATTTACGGTGTTGGAGTTACCACTTTCTCTCTGTTGCTTCGCCCACGTGTTTCTTCTCAACTGGTGAAAGTAATTTCGGGTTACGTCGGGCTGGCACATTTCCCGGAGAAAGTGCTTACGTGACTCATGTCTGCATGATTCTTGGCCTTCACCGTAACCAAGGCAACGAACAAGTTGCTTACATATGTTTAATAAATTCTTTTTCAATAAAATTAAGAAAATGCATGTTAATTAAGGTGATTTTCGCAAACGCGAAAATCATATTAACGATTGACCACCGTATTTGGACAGAGAGCAGGTGTGGTTTTTCAAATTTGAATAATCTTTCGCAATTGCCTGAGAAAAAAGATATATGACTTGTCAGGATGTAATTCTGAGGCGCTGAGAATCACACCCCCTGAGGTGGTGTTAAAAATTTCGAATGTTCTGTCATTACTTGCCTACGGGGAAATTAAATTGAAATTTTCTTCAAGACAATTTAGAAGAAGTAATGAACGGTTTGTAATTTTAGAATTGCACTCAAGTTTTTTTAGAATTGATGCGACAATATGTATTTGGTAGCCTGAATTATGTCATGAATAAGAAAATACGTACCAACCATGGGTTCATACTTGGGTTATAATTTAACCTCCAAAATTTGCGTACACTCTTAAAAATCTGGTAATGTCATATGCATGGATGGACGCATTTGTTGTCCATGCATTGAGGAAACAACATCAAAACTGTGGCAAAGAGATTTTCATGAAACTCACCACCACGCTCCCCATTCAACGCTCTATTGATCCTCATCCTTCCATCCTTTTTTCATGGAAGTGAAAAATTCAGACAAATTTCGAGAACACAACTTAAATCAGCAGTTTTGAAACATGCGAATTTCCCGGACTGAACTTTCAGGCATTTTTTTATATGGGGTTTAATTTATTTGCTGACAGATTTTGTTTAAATCTCTCTAATACTTACGATGGGATGACGCCAGCGGTCTTGCTCCGATAACTATATAGCCTTAGGTAAATCAAGCACGTTTTTCAGGATTTTTCATAATGCTCAGCTTAAAGGAAATTATGATGGAATCCGTGAGCGTGAATTGGCATTTTCTCCCTCATGAGAAAATTGTCACGGTTAAAATGCAAATTCTCGCTCACGGATTCCATCATATCTTCGTTTAAGCGGAACATAATGAAAAATCCTGAAACACGTGGTCAATTATTTATCTATCGCTAAATAATTATCGTGGTTTCGTCAAAATCGAAGCGAGATCACTGGCGTCATCGCACTGTTAGTGTATCTACAAGCTTACACTCTTGTTTTCGGACACCACATTTTTGTATCCACTATTAGACAGGTTGAGCAAGAGTACATGATTGTATTTTGCGATTGTAAACACAGCGGGAAAATCAAAATTAGTCAAACTTTTAGTCAAACTCAGGATTACAAATCTCCGTCTCCAGGCAGCATTGTATTGTACTCATATACCCAACTTGCAGGAATTTCAAATCTGCCGCCGGAAATTAATGAGAATTACAATCCTCCCATAAAATATTCTTGCTCAACCTCAAGAACATACAATCATAGATTGTGATTGTGATTCTAGCTACAATCATTTTTTTACAATATTGTACTCTTGCTCAACCTGTCTATTAAGTGGTGTATGTATGTAAGTTTATTCCTGGTGGTTTATTTATACCAAACTCTGCCCGCAGTTTAATGATGTGGATTTTTTGTAACCCATCCGTGATGGGCCAGAACTTCTGTTTATACGATATGCATACTAAACATAAGTCTAGTTATATATCATGTGTGACGAGAAATAAGTAATGCAACAAGTAATCTGCACATGACGGATACATTTTGCTATTCCGTGCTCTTATATTTTTAGACATAAGACTTGCATAGTGAATAAAACGTTGGAGAAGGAGCTCGAGCTTTTCAACTTGCCTGCATAAAGAGTAAGCTATAAATCTGTGGCTTTTGTCACTATTATTATAGCTTATTGTCAGTTAAATCCAAATTCTAAGGGAGGTAAAAAAATATGAAAATATTCAATTTTAAAATTCTGTGTATGTATCATATTCATTTGTGAGAGTTGGAGTGAGATAAGAGTTATGAATTTGCACACTGGTACAGACACTCTAAATAAACTTGGTTAAAGCATTTTTCTCAAGGTTGAATAAAATTTGTAATAACAACTATTGAGTAAAATGTAACCTAAGTTGTATACCTTGGGGTAAATTTTATTCGACAACGGGTTTATTTAGAGTGTACATTTCAAATTCTACTGAAGGAATACGTAATAATTTGCGGACTAAGAAGTTATTCCCAAGTAGGAAAATTTACAGCTTGATTTACAAATACGTAAAACTCCAAGTTTGTAAGCCCCTAATATCACCTCATGTTCATATTCTTATAATTTATCAATGGACTAATAAAATTCTCTAATTATGTAGGTCTCATTTAGCTGATTACATCGCCCTCAATTTTCTGACAAATGGGGGCTCGATGGAGTAGATGGGAGGCAAAACCTCTTCCAAATCCGACAAGATTATTCGAATCTGCCGCCACGATAGGATCAACAGCACCACCCTCCACCTTTGTTAACGAAACAATCGCAGTTTTAAATGCAATTCGGAGCGCCGCCCCACTCGCGGGCACCATAATTGGAATAAATTTGGCCAATGGTTTAAGTGTTTTGGGAGCTTTGACCGTATTATTTGGATTCTTTAAGGCACAAGTGGACGACGTCGCGAAAAAGTTGCGTCAATACGTTGACGCCGAATTGTTGGCAGGTGTCCTTACCATAATTAGGGTCAACTGGGGCAAGAGCGAGTGAATTTCATCAAACTTATCATCCATAGAGTTACAAATTATGAACAACTCAATTTCAAAAATTGCAAATTGTGATAAGGCATCGTAAATTAGGTCGTCCAAGATTGTTAGTAAAGAAAATTAAAAATATTCAAATTAGAATGAGTTATTTAAAATTAAGTATGTGAGCGCACTCGCCCCACGGTTTTGCAGAATCTGGGGCAAGTGTGATTTTTCGTGGGGCAAGAGTGCTTATATCAAAAACTAGTCCGATATTTATCCAGAAGCTGCAATAACTGTTTTTAATAACAAATAAGGCTATTACCAACAATTTGTGGAGCTATTTTATCAATTATTAAGTAGCGGAAGCTACTTATTGCGATCGTTTTGTCCGTCCGTCCGTCTGCGGTCTGTAAGCAGGATATCTCCACAACGAGTTAGCATAATCAAACACCGTTTTCGACATTGTGTTTCTAATTTTTAGTTCTCCGCCGAGTTCAAAAATTGGGTCAATCGGACCACACCCCACTGCGCCAGGGGGTGTGGTCCAGATTAAATTTAACTTTAATTTTCATATGGGTGTCATTTTAAAGGAAATTTGACGGAGATTTCAAATATGTTAATATTTTTGACCCCATGACCTTGACGACGAGGTTAAAGATCAAAAAATGCATAATTGTCATATAGGGTGTAATTTTAAAGGAAATTTTACGCGATTTCAAGGACGTTAATATTTTTGACCTCATGACCTTGAGATCAAGGTCAAGGGTCAAAGGGCAAGGGTACATAACATAACACATAATTGTCATGGGATACGGGATAAGGCTTACAATGGAGGTCTCCCAACGTATGCTCACAGATTTGGACGAAATTAGTGTCAATCGATCACAAATATAATTAGTATGAAATTTGCAAATGGAACTATCTGCCACTACAGAAGGGTTTGGCACTTACGTGGATACGAATTTGACCTCGA